GGGCGAGCCGGTCGGTGCTTTAAAGTTGAAAGGCTGGAGCTGGTGACTGGCTGCTCTGTGCCCACACCCCACACACACACACACACACACACACAGGTCGGGAGACAGAGGGGAGGTCTGTGGAGGAACACACAGGCCGGCGGACAGTTCAACGGGTCCTCGAGGTCCCCCAGGAGAATAGAGCGTCCACTCAGCCTCCCCACCCTCAATGGCCCTGTTGAAAAGGAGAGCTATAAACTGGCGGATGAGCAGAGAGGTGGGGGTGGGGGGGGGGGGGTTTGAGACTCTGCCTCCCCTCTTTCTCTCTCACTCTCTCACATGCTATCTCTTTCTTTCCTTTACCAAGTAGTGGTTTCCATCTCACCGAACCTCTTTTCCCCCAGAATGTTTAAAAAGATGAAAGGATAAGGAAAAGAATGGAGACAAAGGAGAGCGGGGTTGTGTTTCCAACCTGCCCCTGAGAGACTGCTCATGAAAGAGTTCGGGGATGGGAGAGATAGGGACCGGAGAGGAGACACAGAAAGAGACGCGGAGTCATGAAAAGGGGGTTTTCAAGCCGTTAAAACGGGTCACTTCTGTATTGAGAGACGGACCAGAGTGCGGCCTTCGCTTTGGGACGGAGACACTGTCCGGAGCCTCGGATGGACGGAGGCGTTGACGTGCCCACACACACACACACACACGCACACACACACACACACTCCCCGGTGTCTCCCCCCTGTGAGTTTCTCCCCTCCTGGCATTCACAGGCAGCCACTCGAAGTATTTGCAAGCCTCTAACCATTCTCTCTATCTGCCTCTCTGTCTGAACTTGCCCCGTGCGCACTTAGATATTTCCGCCTCGGGGCGCATCAGTGAAAGTCGGAGTTAAAGACCGAGAGCTGCTGGCTCCTCGTGGACATGAACAACGGCCAATCACAGATGCTGATTAGAAGGGCAGGGATGTGTTTTCTTAGGCCGCTAAGCCCCGGCTCTCCGTGTGAGCATTATTTAGACGTGCAAAAGAAAACCTCAGCCATTTCACAACCGACCAGACCAAGGGTTTCATCTGAGACACTCATTCACAGAACGAGTTTTTCTTCATGCTGTTACCGGAACGCGTCTCTTTTTAAAGATTTCCTAAATCCTCCAGCAATCAAAAGTCACAATACGAGGCAGATGATTAACAGAACGCAGCGCCTCTCTGTTTTCCATGACCTCAACACGGTGTGAGAGCAACTAAAAGCCCATCAGAACTCACACCTAGAATGTGGAATCCCAGATTTTAAGTCCAAAATACTGAAATGACTTAAAAGAAAGCTGTTTTTAAAACGTAATTTAAACAAAAACACCACTTAGAATTATCACAAAAAACTCAAATAGCCTTCACGTTCAAAATACACAGGTTGTCTTATTTCCTACAACCTTCAAACACACCACCATCTTTACTCTTACTCCTGGAGTCCAGCGGTGAGTGGACAGAGGCCTTCCAGAGGTCCTTCTGTCCCAGACCTCTGGTCGCTCCACCTTTCTCGTTTTTTTTCACGGGGTTTAGTTTATTTTTTCATGAAAAAGAATTACGCGCAGACACGTTTTTAGGTTTCCAGATGTCCCTTTAGCTCCCACTGGCCCCTCTGATTGAATCTTTCCCACGAACAGCGCCGTCAGCCATCAGCCTGCTGCTCTCGCGCTGGACATCATTCTGCATTTGGAGCTGGGGACCGAGCATAATTGGGAGGAGGCTATTAGGGCAATTATTGGAAATAGTCGGGCCGAAGCTGTCAGAGCGAGGCTAACAGTTTATCTCTACAGAGTCAGACCCCAGTTACGGATCCCAGAACTCTCCAAGGACCCTCAGTCGGTTCCCAATCATTCACCCTAACATCTTTCCATCTGTCTGCCCTCGACTGTGTCCACTTGTTTCTCTCCTCTCCAGATCTTTTCTCGCTTCCAAAAAGTCCCTTTCTTCCACCCCCTTCACCCCCAAAACGCCTCCCTCTGGGGAAATCTGCGCGGCCACCGTCGCCGCGCACACACATGTTTCCCATTTCAGGCCTCCCGCTCCTCTCCGCGCAATCTGACCCAATTAGCCCCGGCCGGCTGGAAACGCCGCCGCCGCCAGACCTGCTGGCAGAGAGGTAAAGGGTCAAAGGTCAGACGGGTGGGGAAGGGGGGGGGGGGCAGCCTCTGATGAGTGCATCAGCTCCGAGTCTGTCTCAGACGGGTTCGGCACAGGTGTGGGATCGTGCCGGAAAAAAGGGAGCCCGAGCCTTAAAATTGAATTTCACAGCTCGGTAAATGCCAGAGACGCACCTGAACGCCCAAAACGGCGCAAACAAACAAACAAACAGCACATGCGCCAGCAAGTTCCTCCCTGCGTGAAACTGAAATTAGCATGAGGAATGTTCACCTTCGGGAAACTGGCCCGCGGGGGGAGGGACGTCCACCATCAGAGCCCCAGACCCCTCATTGGGAGAAAAGCAAAGACTGGCTTTCGGTCATTTTAAAGGCCTTTTTTTAATGAATTATGTTTATTAGGTATTTTTTAACATTTATACAAAAACAGAAAGGGACAGAACAATAAGAGGGCAAAACGTATACAGCACTGATACAGAAAACAAGACAAAATCAAAATTGGAGGCATGTACATAAATTACAGCATCATATGAGAAACATAACCAATTTATACAAACACGTCATTCAGATTCACATTACTGGTTTTTCATTTTTGAAATTTTGAAGTGTTCAAGAATACCTTCCCATCTTTTTTTAACCCTCCTGTTATGTTCATTTTTTAGGTACAGCAATGCTGTTCCCGGGTCAGTTTGACCCGGTGCATGTTTAATTATCCAAAAGATGTCTGAAACCAAAAAAATCCTAACAAGCATTGTTAATATTTCATTAC